CGCCCGGCGCCCGGGGAACTTCCGATTCGGTAGCCGGAATCGTACTGGGTTGGTTCCAGCGCTCCTATGACAGTACCCACCTGGGTCGATACCCGACTCTACAACAACCTGGGCTTAAAAATAAAAATAAAATAAAACGACAACAACAACAACAACAACAACAACAACAGACGAGGGGTCAGAATTTGTGTCAAGCTCTGTTTCCCATCAAACACAGCCTTTGGCAACATCTCGGCCTAGCATGGTCATTGGGCGAAGTGTTTTAGTCTGTCGTGTCTACCATTTTCACCAAGCGAGTATGGTCACGCTTGGACTTGAACCAATGACCCATTGGAATTTGCAACAGATTTGAAGTCTGTCGTGTTTGCCATTCTCACCAATTGAGCTCCTGTATTCGCCCAGACTTTTCCTTAAATCGTGGCTTTTTTTTTTTTCTTTTTCTTTTTTTTTTTCTTTTTTTTTTCTTTCTTTTTTCGGAAGGGCAGCCAGTGTTGTATGATCCAGGCACCACACCGGCCTGGTTCAAACGAAGGCTGCTGTTGAATTATACCAACCGGAAAACAGGTCGGGCGTCCCTCACATCATACTAAACCTTCCACAATTTGATTGTTTTCATAGATGACAGGGTTCACACTGTAAACTACATCACAATCGATAGTTAGTGCAGATTACAGGCTTGCTAACCTTTCACGGGCTTATTCTTCTCGTACCTGACACTATGCACATCAAACTGTGTAATTGCATTTTAAATGTACTTTACAGGGATGCTGGACCCGATTTCCAGCAGGTGTTGCTCCCCAGCAATAGATGGAGCCATCCCGGCACTACTAGTGGTGTCTGATCATATCAGCACCCCTAGTAGCCGCTCGGGCTGTTTGAGGCCAAAAAAAAAGAAAAAAAAAAGGAGAAAGTGCAGGGTAAACTGTTTCCTTTGGCCGCAAGCATGTCACCTTCAGCAAGGCAAGGATAGCGATATATAACAGCAAGATAAGCGTCTGTACAATCCCGCAGCTAAAAGGAAACAGCATTCTCCTCTCAATATATGGGGACCACTTTTTTTTTTTTTTTTGGGGGGGGGGGGGGGKGGSGGRGGGGGGGGRCCACTTTAGGAAGTACTGGKGGTTTTAACATGGAAACATACATCCCCATAAGTTTTGTCTTTTTGGCATTTGGTGAGTAGTGCAGCGAGGCCCATTTTCTTGGGGGCCTCCTTTCCTTGGGGGTCTCCTTTTGACCGTGTCCCACACGCCGATGTCTTGGCAAGGATGTAGGCCTCACGATTGGAGATGAGGCAGACAGTGAGGGATCACTGGGATGGTGCCTCCTTTTGGACTGTTCTTGGGAACATGCCACAAAACTGCTTCCAATTGGATTCGAGAGATAATGATCACATCCTGTTTTGTACACAAAGAGTGACGGACGTGGCCTGTAGGTTCCAGACTCAAATCCCAATCAATGTCTGTCTAGCTCAGCATGGATGCAAGGCTGGGTACTACCGTCTTCCCCCGAGCATAACGGACCCTAAAAATGACTGTATACAAGCTATATTTCTGGCCAGATACAGCCAAAATGAGGGTGCGTTGTGTTCCGGGGAAGATGGTAGTGGGTAGTCCTTCAGCTTTTTGGCCGCCCCCAGATTCTGGCTTACCTTCTTTGCTAGCTGGTCTGGACTCTCTTCTTCATGAATAACTCGGGCTGGCCGCATCATACTTTTGAATTCCGACGTGCAATCGAAACAGTTTTTTGCAGTCTTGTCTTGTCGCGGCTGGAGTTTTAAATACAGTGTCGTTGCAGAGTGTTCTGCGCAGATATTTGCGCAGTTCTGTCAGAGGCCACCTCCAGCGTGTTTCCGGCTCGATAGACCAGTGGCAAGCCTTTCCAGCAAAAAACAAGCCTGCCCAGTGCCCTTGCCTTTTTAGGAAAAACAAAAGAGGCCTGAACTGGTTGCTCAGCCCTAGCCCACGTCTGACGTGCCTCGGCCACGCCCAACGTGGCGTCTGACAAAACTGCAAAAAGGTTGTGGCCTGAGTTTGTTTTTTTCCTTTAAAAACTCTTGCAAAAACCTGTTGTGATTGCAAATCTAAACTTATTATTTATTTATTTTTTGACGCAGTCGCAGTCACCTCTCGCGTTGAAGCACCAGTACACGACACATAGGCCCGCGGGTGTCAGCGTGAAACCCTCGCCACTTCGGCGGCCGCCAATTTTTTTTATTTTTTTTTCAACGGACCAGCTTGCCGCGCGACGCCTCCGAGTTTTGCTTGTGGCGACAAAAACTTCCTGCAAGGCCGGGGCCGTGTGTTCTAGCGGCTTAAACCACCAGTACATGGCCCAGCTATTGGCCATGGAAAAAAAATCGAGTAGAAACATTTCTAGTCCGATGAATTTGGTCGCTTCCATAGTGACCTGTACATTTCCTATCGTATTGAAAAAAAAAAGAAGAAAAAGCTGAGAAAGTTCTAGTGTGGGTATATGTCTTTTTTTTTTTTTTTTTGAAAACAACCCGGGTAATGCTAGCGGTACTGGTTTCTGCAGACACCGCTAGCACTCCGGGGAGGCTCCGTCTATTGGTGGGGAGCAGCACCTGCTGGAAACCGGGTCCAGCGTCCCTGACAATTGG